CGCTGCGCTGGCGTGCCTATACGCTGCGCTGCTGCGCTGGCGCGGTGGCGGGGTTCGCCGCAGGCGGCCATGATAGTAGCCGGTGAGGTGCACGGTCGCCTTGCCCTTCACCACCAGCGTGGCCTCCGCGGAGTCGAGGAAGAGGTCCAGGGCGCAGAACTCCTGGGCGCCCTCGCGCAGGCACGCCACCGCGTAGCTCTGGCCCCCCTGCTCCACCAGCACCTTGGCGGAGGCGCCCGCGGCCGTGCCGGGGTCCAGGCACGCCTGCGACAGGTGGAGCAGCTCCCCGGCCTTGGTCTCCACCTTCGTGGGCTGGTTCGGGGCGACGACGCAGCCCCAGAACGACATCCTGCCGGCGTCGCGCAGGCTTCTCGGCGAGCGCCGGCGAGGGCGGAGGGGGCGCGGGAGGGCCTGGCTGCCCCGATGCGCAGCACACGGGGCCCAACACGTGGACCGAACACGTTCGACCAGGTGGTAATTCAGGAGGCCAACGTTGGGCTCTGTTGGGCGGCGGGCGGCCACAACCCCGGGGGCGCGAGGGCACCCTGACCCGCAGGTGGCCGCAGAGGCACGGGCAGGACACAAGGGTAGCTTAAGCAAGGCGCGCGCCCCTACTAAATATGCGCGCGGACTGTGCACGCGAGAGTGACCTTTGGGTAAGAGTGACCTTGGGTGCGCGGCTTCTTCTGGGGCCGCGGCGGGGCCGAACCCAAGCGCGCAAGACTCTACTACCGAATCGCGTTCGACGATCGGGGGGCCCCAGGTGGGCCCGCACGAAAGGGTCACTCGGGCGAAAGGTCCCTCGTACGTGTAGCGGGCACGTAGGTCTGGCGCGATACTCTCGCCACAACGAGGGCCAACACGTGCCGAGCCAACACGCAGAGTGTCAGCACGGACGTTCTGAGCACGGCGCGCGTTGCGCTTCCAAACGGGCGCATCGGGGCAGCTAATTGGGGGGGGGGGCGCTCTGTGCAGGCAGCGGGTGGCTTGGAGAGCCTGGGCCAAAATGGCTGTGGGCCCAGACCCCCGACGCCATGCTGAGTTCACGACGTCGACCCCCCAAAGGGCCTCGACCCACCCCCCGGGGACCCGTTTCCCCTCCCGCGCCGCTTCTTGACGGCCCCGAGCGCTGGCCACAGGGCCCCCGGCTGCCCCAAAGGACGCCAAGCCTCCCGAGGGGGGGGGGTCTGCGGAGGGGACGTGCGGCGATCGGGCCCGCTGGGAGCGGTCCTCGCTGGCCGCCCTCGTGAATGGGAGCAGCCTCGGGGCGGCGCGGGGCCTCCCCCTGCGGGGTGCCCCCATGGGTGGGTGGCCTCTCGGGGACGCTCGGGGCGCAGGATCCGCTCCATGGGGCGGAGGAGGGCGCACGTTCCGCTCGCTCCGCGAGAGCTCCGTCGATCACCGGGCTCACATAGTGTGCGTCTGACTCTTCGCCCCCGGGCGTGGGCAACGAGAGACGCACGCGAGGGCAGAGCCTCACGCAGCCTTGCAAACAAACCCTTTGTGCGTGTGCGTGGGCTCTCGCTCGCGCGGAGCACTCGCAGCTCCTCCTCCTCCACCTCCTCCTCCTCCTCCTCCTCCTCCTCCTCCTCCTCCTGCTCCTCCTTCTCCTCTTCCTCCTCCTCCTCCCTCTCCTCCTCCTCCACCTCTCCTCCTCCTCCACCTCTCCTTCTCCTCCTCCTCCTCCTCCTCCTCCTCCTCCTCCTCCTCCTCCCCTTCCCCCTCGTCCTCCTGCCTCCTTCTTCCTAGTCTAGTCCTGTCCGTCCTCGTTCATCGTCGTCCTCCTCTCCTCCTCTCCTCCTACCTCCTCCTCCCCCTCCTCCTGCCTCATGCCTCTGCTCCTGCCTCATGCTCCTCCTCCTCCTCCTTCTCTCTCCTCCAACCTCCTCCGCCTCCTCCTCCTCCTCTGCCTCTGCACTGCTACTGCCCCTCCTCCTCCTCCTCTCCTCCTCTTCCTCCTCTTCCTCCTCTCCTCCTCCTCCTCCTCCTCCCCTCCTCCCTGCTCCCTCCTCCTCCTCCTCCCCCCCTCCTCCCTAGCTCACCCCGAAGGTACACCCCCCCCCCCCCCCCCCCTCCCCCCCCCCACATCCCACCACAACGCCCCCCCCCCCCCCCCACACCCCACCACCCCCCCCCCACTCCTCCTCCCTCTCCACCTCCTCCTCCTCCTCCTTCTCCTCCGCCTCCTCCTCCTCCTCCTCCTCCTCGTCTTCCTTCTCCTCCGCCTCCTCCTCCTCCTTGTCGCGCGGCCGTCGCGCCGCTCTGCTTCGTCACCAGCGGGGTGGAAGCAGGGGCCAGGGCGCGGGCAAGCGGGCGGGCAGGCAGGAAGGGGAACTTGGAAGAGCGCCTCGCGGGTGAGACCTCAAGGATTCGGCCACTGATGCAGAGACGTGATGGCTCTCACCACCTGTGCGGCGCCGTCCCTCGAGGTTCTCCCTTCGAAGGCCTGCTACGGTCTGCGGATGGACGCTGGGATCGCCTAAGAGACCCCCACGGACCGGTGCCCGCAGGCCATCGAAGGGTGCACGCGGGCAGCCACGCTCGCTGCCAGCAACGTCTGCGCAGGGCCGCTCGAGGTCCGCCCCGAGCATGTCGTAGACGGCCCGGGTGCCACGAGCCCGGACTTCGCGCAGGAGGTCATCGGGGTCGGCGACCTGCCCAGACCCCCGACGCCGTGACTGTTGCACGACGCGAGCCCCAAGGAGGTCTGGACCCATTCCCCGGGGCCAGCTCGCCATCCTGAAGCGTGTCTTGACGGTCCCGAGGCCGGGTCAGGGCTCCCAGAGATCCAACGCATTGGAAAAATTAGGACAAAAGTTTTTCGCATTTGTCGGCCCCCAGGGGCCCTCGCCGGGCCTCGGGGCCGTCAAACAACGACTCAGGCCATGCTGCTCCCATCGCACTCAAGCACCACATCCCAGAAATAATTTCGAGCACCCGGGGAAATACCGAAAGAGTGTCGAAACAGTGTCGGACGAGTGTCTTCCAGGGCCCGACACCTGAAAACCCTTGAGTTTCGGTACTTTCTTCTGATGCTCGAAATTCTTTCTGGTGATCCAGGCGAAAAGCAGGTTGGAACATCATAAGACTCAGGATGAAAAACCGGTCCTGGGGAATGGGCCGAGACTTCCGGGGACCCCGAATGGAAACAATCACGGTCCGATTGGCAAGAGGCGGGTACGCCCCGCAGCGACGAGCGCAGATTGCACAACATTTTCCACACGTGGTACAGCAAATCCAGTTTGCGAAGTCTTGTTCGTTGCTCCCATGTCGTCGTAAAAAAACCGGTCCTGGGGAATGGGCCGAGACTTCTGGGGACCCCGCATGGACACAATCACGACGTCGGCTCTCTGGGCTCCCAGAGGCCGAACACCGCGAGAGGCCTCCCGGCGTGCTTTTGTGATTTTTCCCAGCGCCAGGGGCGCTGGGTCCTGGGTTTGTGCCGACTTGTCTTCCTCGACCCTCGGGGCGTCTGAGGAGCCCACCTTGGAGGAACGAGCGAAGTGGTGGTCACTGCGTGTTGGTGCAGTGGTGGTTTACCAGCCTCGAACGTCTCCCTATCCCTAAGATTGACCAGCATAGGGATAGGGATATGTTCCAGGCTGGTAAGTGGTGCGTGGAAAGAGTCGCAAAAAAACAAAAACAAAGACAAAAATCAAAAAACAAAAAAAAAAAACAAAAAAATCCGACGTCGGCTCTCCGGGGAGGAGGGCCGCGCCCACCGCCGGGGCCTCGCGCCCGACGCCGCGGGCCGCCCGCCCGAGGCCGAGGCGCGCGGCCGCGGCCCCGCCGGCGCCGCCTGCCCAGGTCGACGCCGCCCTGCAGAGCCCCGGGCGCTGGGCTTAAGTCGGGCCTGTCCCTCCACAGGGGGGGAATATCCAAGAACAGTTTCAAAAGATAGTCTGGGAACGCCTTTTTGTTGATATCATTTTTGAATGTTCAAAAATAGTTCTTAAACATAGCCTGGCAACGCCTTTTTTTTAATCACTTTTGACTATTTTCGTTTTTGTTGCCTAGTTTTACTTGTCTTGAATCTCTTGGGGGTTATTGTTTGACTATTTTTAGCTTCCTTCCACAATCCGCCTGTAGCGGCCCGAGGCGCCGCCGACCTAAGCCTAAGCGGGCGCCGACGCGCTTGGCCCGAGGCGCCGCTCGCGGCGAGGCTGCGCCCCCAGAGCCCCTGGCGCCGGGAAAACACAAAAAAAGCACGCCGGGAGGCCTCTCGCGGTGTTCGGCCTCCGGGAGCCCAGAGATCCAACGTCGTGATTGTGTCCGTGCGGGGCCCCCGGAAGTCTCGGCCCATTCCCCAGGACTGGTTTTGTTTACGACGACATGGGAGCAAAGAACAAGACTTCGCCAACTGGATTTGCTGTACATGGCTATACCACGTGTGGGAAATGTTGTGCACTCTGCGCTCGTCGCTGCGGGGCATACCCGCCATTTGCCCATTGGACCGGATTCTCATCCTGAGCCGTTCTTTGACGGCCCCGAGGCCCCGCGAGGGCCCCTGGGGGCCGAACACTGCGAGAACCTACGTCTTGATTTGTTCGGTGCGTGGGGAAAAGGAGGAGGAGGAGGAGGGGGAGAAGGAGGAGGAGGAGGAGGAGGAGGAGGAGGAGGAGGAATGGGAGAGGAGAGGGGAGGAGGGGAGGAGGAGGAGGGGGAGGAGGAGGAGGAGGAGGAGGGAGGAGGGGAGGGAGGGGGAGGAGGAGGAGGGAGGAGGGGGGAGGGAGGAGGGAGGAGAGGAGGAGGGAGGAGGAGGAGGAGGAGGAGGAGGAGGAGGAGGAGAGAAGAGGAGGAGGAGGAGGAGGAGGAGGAGGAAGAGGAGGAGGAGGAGGAGGAGGAGGAGGAGATCTCTGGGTCCGCAGCAGGCGCGGCCTCGTCGCCGCGCGGCGGCGCCGCGGGCCAAAGCGCGCCGGCGCCCGCGGGCGGCGCGGCGCCCAGGAAGGGCGGACTCGCAGGGAGCGGCCGCCGCCGCGGCGGGGAGCTCCTCCTCCGCCCACGGCGCCCCGGCTCTGGCTCCCTCGCTTTGGGTGACTTAAACCCAGACCCCCTCGAGTCATGAAAAAATCACGACGGGAGGTTTTTCTATGTTTTCGGCGTCCGGGGGCCCTTACCGGCCCTCGGGACCGTCAAAAAACAACTCGGGGTGAAAAGCTGGTCCCGGCGAAGAGGTCCGGACCTCTGGGGGTCGCGTCATGAAAAAATCATGACGTCGGGGGTCTGGGAAGGGGGTCCAGCTGTAAGGGGGTGGTGCCACAGATCTGGGGCACTTGAATTGCACATGCACTGCGCCGGAGAATTGTTTGCACTGTTTCGCCAGTAGTGTATTGCACACGGAAATACAGCAATACATTCGTACCCTGGGATGTATTGCACGCCTCAAATGTATTGCAACCCCGCACATCTATTGCACCCAATCTATTGCACCACCCCCTTGTCGCTGGACCCCCTTTTGGGTCAACCCGACTCGCGTGCTCGGTGTTCACGTCCTCCTCCTCCCCTGAGATCCCGGCGAGTCAATTTTCTCGAGCTGGGCGTCTTCGCCTGTCTCCGAGACCCTCACAGCTCGATCTGGCTAGCCCGGAAAATGGCGCAGCAAGATAGGGTCTTGGGCTCCGGGCGTGATTTCTCGCGATGCCTTCATTTTTCGCCCTCCTCGAAGTCCGCCTCGCCCTCCTCGAAGTCTTCCTCGCGTCCGAGGTCGAAGTGGCTCCGGCAGACCTGGCGCGGGGCGTCCGCGGGGCGTTGGTCAGCACAGGGCTTCGTGGCGGATCAAGCCGTGGGGTCCTCGGCGACATAGCCCGTCGATTGGGGTCCCCTGGGGGGATTCCGATCTTTGCCTTCGTCTGGGCTGCAGCCTGGGTCTACTCCGGGATGGAGCGCCCGAGGGGGCAAAAAGGGGTAGGCGCCGCAGTCGCACGACGGGATGAAGGCCGGCAGCAGGAATGCCTCGTGGTCGCCGCGGTTAGCGCCGGCGTCAGTGGCCCAGCGCCGGGTTGGCCCAGCCGTGGCAGGGACCTCTATGACGATGTCCCTGAAGTTGATCTCGCTGTTGAAGTGGTCGTGGTGGTACTTCTCCCCCGCGGCCGCCGCCTCGGCGACAAGCGGTCGCCGCCGCCTCGCGGCGCGACGGGCTGCGGTGGGGCCGAGCGTCGCGGCCTCCCGTGCTCAGGCTCGACTTCGCGCTGGGAGGACCAGGGCCGCCCAAGTGGTGGGCAGCCCCCCGTGTTCTGGCTCGACTTCGCGGGCTCCGCGGCCGCTATGGCGCGAGGCGGCTGGGCGCCCCGCACGGTTGTCCGCCCTCCTGGGATCCCTCCCGCCCCTTCTGACGGGGCTGGGCGGGGAGGCTCCCCCCTGAGAGGCAGCAGCTTCTTCCTCCTCCTACTCCTCCTCCTCCTCCTCCTCCTCCTCCTCATCCTCCTCCTCTATGTCGCACCCAGAGGCCAGTCACAAGAGCAGCCCGGGCGTGTCGCCTGAGACTTCCTCACCACTTACGACCCTGAAGCTTGATCATTGGCAACAGCTTCACATATTGAGGGCGGCCGTTTTCAGAATGTGGCTCTCGTCTTAGCGCCGCGCACATGGCTTTTTGTATTAACATGAAACATTCGCACGAGCTTCACATATTGAGGGCGGCCGTTTTCAACATGTGGCGCTTGCCTTCGTGCCGCGCGCATTCGTGTTAAACGTTTGCAAGACTGTCGCGGGTTCCCATTGCGAACGTGCCAGACATTGTGTTTTGGAGCGGTTCGCGATTGTCAGGGCGCACCAATTACGTTGACTCGCGGTGCGGAAATCCCACGATTTAGGATCGTCAAGACGCAACCGTCAGGTTGACTAGTGGCGTTGAAGTTCCAAGAGTGGTTGGTGTTCGACGGTTGTCTCCCAACGGGGCGCTGTCCTCAGTGGAAATGAATCTTCTAGGCACCTATGAAGAGGGAGCTTGGGTGGAGGGTGTGTTCCAACATCGTCTATGAGTCTTGGGTATTCCCTGGCCCTCATCTTTCCCCTCTTCCTCCTCCTGCTCCTCCTCCTCCTCTTCCGCCCCCAGAGGGGTGCCTCGGTGAGTGGGCGGCTCATCGGGCCCCCGGGGGAACACTACAACCCGCTCAGCCGTCCTTCGGGGCGCCGCTGTGGGTTAGGTCGGGTCCTTGGGTGTCGGGCTGTCCCGCTTGGCCGCTCGGGCCAGGGGGCGCAGCGTGACCCTCAGGGCACGGCCTCACCTGCCGCGAAAAAACACCCACTTGCGGGTGGTGGTGGGTGCGGAGGGACTAAACTGCTGGGGTCCTGTCCGCCCCAGCGCCAGTCTCCGCACTCGGGTTCTCCCGCACCACGAGGTGGTCGGGTGAGGCTCATGGATGCGTGCCACCTGGTCCCCCTTGGGCAAGGGGACCTGCGGGGGGGAGTTTGTGGGCTCCGCTCAGTCTCGCGCCAGGTGGCCCGCCTGTGCGGCCGAGGGAGTTCCAGGGTTCCGACCTGCAGAGGCGGGCAGAGGCTCGGGTCAGCGTGAGTGAGTAGTTTGCGCGCGCAGGAGCGGCGGAAGCGCCGCTGGGGCTGCCTCTCCTGGTCCTCCCCTCCTCCCCACCCCCTCCGCTCCTCCCTCGGCCCCTGCCCCGAGGTTTTTCAAGGCAGTGGGAGGAGGAGGAGGAGGAGGAGGAGGAGGAGGAGGAGGAGGAGGAGGGGGATGAGGAGGAGGTGGGAAGTTTGTTTACGCGCCGACAGGTGCGGCGTAGCAGTGCCCGGGCAGCTGCTCCGCCAAGAGGCCTGGGGCTGAGGCCGCCCGGCCACTGCCCGCCGCGACCGCGTGCGCGGGCGTGCCGAGCGGTGTGGCACTCGTTCCAGGGCCTGACCACGGGTATCAAAAGCTCCCGCTCCTCTTCCTCTTCCTCCGCATGTTGTAAAGTTGGGAAGACTTCCAGTGCTATGCGTGTAGCGTCCTTCCTTCTCCTCCTTCTCCTCCTCCTCCTCCTCCTCCTCCTCCTCCTTTTCCTCCTCCTCCTTTTCCTCCTCCTCCTCCTTTTCCTCCTCCTTTTTCCCCCTTCTCCTCCTCCTCCTCCTCCTCCTTTTCCTCCTCCTCCTTTTCCTCCTCCTCCTCCTCCTTTTCCTCCTCCTCCTCCTTTTCCTCCTCCTCCTCCTCCTTCTCCTCCTCCTCGCCGCGCAGGGGGGAGAAAGGGGGATACGCAGGGCTGGCCCTCCTGGCCCACGCTCATGAACGACACCGCCCAGATCATGTGGGCCACCGCCGCCGTGTCCGCCTCTTCGTGCTGCCGCAGGAACCTCGCGCGCCGCGCGCGCGGGCGCCGCGCGGGCGGCGAAGGGGGGAGCACTGCGGCGAGGCAGAAAACAGATCAGAAGGAAGAATCGTATGGGAGTTCTGCGCGGACGTCTTGGACCTGCGCTGACCCCCCCCCTCGCCATCGCTCGGACGTCCACTCCCTGTGCACTCGCCGGCTTCGCGTGGGCATTTTCGCACGATGGTCCGAGGTGCTCCTCGATGGCCCCCGCCGAGAATGATGAGCACGTCCGAGCGATGCCAGGAGCCTGGCGCGCGGAGCGCGGCAGGGGCGGCGCCGGAGGCACCGCCAGGGGCACCCAGCGCAGATCCAAGGAATCCGCGCGGAGCACCGACAGCTTATATGTATGCAGTCTGTTTTCTCGTCTAGAGAGAGGTCGCCGTGGGCTCTTGAGATCCTGGCGTTTCGTATGTTTGAACTCGAGCGATTCTGCCTCGTTTCGGGCCCCAAGTGCGGCTCGAGTGATGCCGCAGAGAGATGGGGCCCAGGGCTCCGGTGGACTCTGTCATACCGCCGACCGCCCTGGACTACTCGGGGTGCCTGTTGAGACCAGTCGTGGGGCTTCTTGAGGCCAGTCGGAATTGCCTTTGGGGGTTCTGTGCGCAACCTGAAGTCTTACCAACCACTGCGGCGAGAAAGGTCGGCGTGGGCTCGAGACAGCGGGCGCAGACCGCGAACGAAGTCCAGACATCAGATGTATAGTTTTGTCAATGCGCAGTCCCCGAAGGTCCCGACCCTGTCCCCAAGGCCAGCTTCTCATCCCGAGTAGTCTGCTGACGGCCCCAGGGTCCTGCGAAGGCCTCCAGAGGCCAAAGGCGGGGAAACACCTCCGCTGTTCTTTTGTTGTTTCAACGCGTTGGACGTCTGAAAAACACGTTGAAACCACTTCCGCCGACGTGCTGGGGCGCGACCTCTCGCGGCCAGACGCCCGTCGGGGATCCGCTGACCCGGATCCATCCAAACCCGGGTCAGTCAGGGTTTGTTGGGTCTTGCAAGATGCTGCGCGACCCTGCAGGATCCTGCACCCAAGCCCGCGTCGATGCGACCCTGGCACTCCAGGATCCTGCAAGATCCGGCGTTCTGGCTGACCCCCTATTTGCATTGACCCCCCTCTCAAGGCTCCCGACTGAATCGTTGTTTGCTGGCCCTGGGGCCATGGAGTGGCCCCTGGAGGCCCAAAGTGGCCGGGCACCTCGCGTCATGCTATCGCTCGGGGCCCGAGGCGTCATCCTGGCCATGGCCGTCGCGCTTCTGCCCCCGAGTGAGGGGCAACGGCAGGCCCCGTCTCAAAACGCCCAGGCCCGAGCCCGGCAGAGGCCCCGGGCACCCCCGGAGCCAAGAGCCACAGGCCACCCAAGCGTCCACGCCATGAACACCCACCCATCTGACCTGAAATAGCGTCCGACCCCAATTAGGGTCCCCGACGTTCAACTTAAGGTCGCGACGTTAGTTCCCACCAGCCCTCTGGGCGGGTCGTTGGGGCGTCCAAGATGGCCCAAGACGTCTCCAAGAGCGAAAAGGCGAGAAAGCCAACAAAAACATGGATTTCCTTAGGTTTTGGACGGATTTTGGCCTCTGTTGGGGCCCAAGAGGCGATTCGAGGCACTCTAGAGGGGGGCAAGGCTAATTGACCACCTCCCCTTCTTTGATAGATCTCCTCCAACATGGCCCCAAGAGCGCCCCGGAGAAGGAGAAAAGGATGATGATGAGGAGGAGGAGGAGGAGGAGAAAGAGGAAGAGGAAGAGGAGGACGAGGACGAGGATGAGGAGGAGGACGCGGAGGAGGGGGAGGAGGAGGCGGAGAGGCAAGCGGAGGAGGGAGGAGGAGAGGTAGGTGGAAGAGGGGCAGGCGGGGAAGGAGGATAATGAGAAATAGGAGGAAAAGCAAGAGGAGGCGGAGGAGGAGGAGGAGGAGGAGGAGGAGGAGGAGAACCATATTTCTGGAGCGAGCGAGGAGCACCTGGGAACGCGGTGGACACCTTACAACCCTTCGCGTCCGCATGGAGTGCGACGCTCCAACGTCGCACGGCTTCGCGATCAGGTGTGAGACCGTGGAGGAGGGCTCGAAGAGCCAGTGCGAGAGCAAGAATGCAGTCCGCGAGCTCGGGATCCCTAAAAAACATCCTCGAGGCAGCCGTGCCGAGACTGCAACTCCGCCTGCAGAGCGTGCAGTGAAACAGATAAGTGACGACTGGCACCATCTGCCGACAACCTGGTCTGCTCGCAGGCTAGCTTCCGATACTTGGCAGAAAGATTCACTGGGCGCGCATCCGCGCCCTCCCGAGACATCTCACAAATCTGCAGGGCTCCGGCAGTGCCGCCTCCGGACATTGCCCATGCGCGATGCGGAACTGGCGAGCAGGGGTTTGAGACCAGCTTGAGCCCAAATGGCTTGAGCCGAAATGGCAACGGCAGGAGGAGGAGGAGGAGGAGGAGGAGGAGAAGGAGGAGGAGGAGGAGGAGGAGGAGGAGAAGCCGCCTCTGCGGCTGGAGGGCCCGCGCTCCTTCCCCTCGCGAGCGCGGGGCCCGCCGGCGCCTCCTCACCAGCAGCTCCACGACCGGCTCCATCTTCAGCTCCAGGGTCTCGGTGAGCTCCTCTGCGCGGGGATCCCACCCGTGCCCGCCCGCGGAACAAAGGGCCCCCCCGCGGCGGAGGGCCGACGCGCTGCAACCGCCCAGGCGCTCGGCGCTGTGCTCTCTCCAGCCGGTGCTCCGGCCTCGGTTTCGGAACTCGGGGGGGCCGAAAACGGTCCAAGAAGGGCCCACGAGGGCCTGAGACGGTCCAAGGGGGCCCCAAGACGGCCCCACGAGAGCACCATGATGGCCCCAAGAGGCTCCGCAGAGGGCCCGAAGAGGCGTTTGGGAGCCAGCAAGGGCCCAGACGGAGTCCTTGAACGGCCACGTTGGGGCTCTTTAGGGCCCTTTCTGGGCCCCCTCTTCACCCTTCGTTGAGGCCATCCCCCATTACCACCCGCCCGAATGCATCGGGGGCGAAAGGCTACCACGGGGCAGCGGTCGGGACTTCTGGAGCCGCGGATGGAAAAGAACAACAGAACAGATCGGCGGATGTCAGAGAGCGGCGGGGGCCGGGGGGCGGCGACGGCGACGAGGGCGTCGGCGGCGACGTGGCCCGAGAGAGGGTAGGAGGGAGGCGGCGATGGGCGGTGGCACTCTTGAGGGAGGTGGCACGGAGGGGAGTGGCCCCGCGTCCCGCGACCCGCCAGCGTGGCAGACGCGGGTGCGGGCACAGCGCCCCCTGCCCAGCAGGACATCGATCCCTGCCTCTGCGCCGTGCGCTCGCGCGCAGCCCTGGCAGCTGTCTGAGTAGCCCGCGGGCCGCGCGCACAGCTGGCTGAGAGGTGGTGCCGCGCAGTGGCGCGCGAGCCGACGCGCAACGGCTGCGATTGCCATCGGCCGCCGAGCTGCCTGAGCGGCGAGCAACAGCTCACGAGATCAGGAAGTCCGGCACCGTCTTGGCAGGCTGAGGCTGCGCACAGACGGCCTCCCCAGGCATAGGGGAGCAAAAAATGGCATAAACAAAAAAAACTCGGAGGTCCGTGCGGATTCCTCGGATCGGCGCTGGACCCCGGTCGTTGGCGCGCGGAGCGCGCCAGGGGCGGCGCCGGAGGCGCCGCCGGGGGGCCTCAGCGCCGATCCGAGAAATCCGCGCGGACCTCTGAGTTTTTATGTTTATGCCACTTTTTGTTCCCCTGAGTGACTACCTACCAGACCACCCCAACCCAACCCGAAGACCCGAATTGGACCCGAAGTTCGGGTTGGGGGGGTACGGGTTCCACGTTTTTTTTCAGTGTTCCCCGACCCCCCCAACTGGAAATGGAGGGCAAATTGAGGCCTTCGGGTTGGGTTGGGGTGGTTTGGTGAGTGGTGACTGAGGCAGTCCCCGCTGGCCTCAGCGGGCCCCCCGAGCAGTCCAGGGCGCCACCCGGGGCGCCGCCAGAGGCGGTGCCAGGGTGCTCACCTGGGGGGGCCTGCCGAGGCCGGCCGGGACTGCCTGGGAGGGCTGCCTGCACGCAGCCCGAACCCTTCCCACAGCACCTCCTCCCCCAGAGATCCGATGTCTTGATTTTTTCAAGACGGGTCTCGGGAAGTCTCGACCCATTCCCCAAGACCGGTTTTTCGTCCTGAATCGTTTTTTGACGGTCCCGGGGCCCGGCGAGGGCCCCTAGGGGCCGAAACTAGCGAAAAACCTCCGTCTTGATTTTTTCAATGCGTTGGATCTCTGGGCCCAAGCAGTAGCTGCGCGACGCACATGTGGTTTCTCCGTCGTCAGTCCGTCAAGTCGACCACCGGATCCAGAGGGCGCTTGCGCCCGGTGCCCCTGCGCTCCGCCTCGTGCTCTGCTCGGTGCTCGTCGGGGCCGCCCTGCTCCCAGGCGACCGGCGGCGCCGCCGACGGGGGTGGCACGCACGAGTCGATGTGCCGCTTCAGCTCGGCGAACCTTGAAGGGGCCCCAGGACACACAAATAAATACACACAAATAAAACAAATCCCAATATTTTTCCATATTTTCTGGGTTTCTGTCTTCCCCCCCACTTCCCATATTTTCCCATCTTTTCTGGGGAATCGACGATTAATTGTGTCTGTGTGTTTCTTCCTCCTAAAACCTGAGGGGCAACGCTCGGGGAGGGGGATCGGCTCCGAGGGGGAGGCATCGACCTGGAATCGGCGATGCATCGCCGGTGGGTCGGCAGCTCCGCGCGGTCCTGGGCGCAATGGGCTATCGGGCCCCCATCGGCGACCAATGGGCGATTGGGGGATCATGTGCCCCCCCCTGAACCTGTCACCCTCCCCCCTCACGTTGCCTGCAGGATCAGTCAGCATCGCATCGGGAAGTCGCGTTAAGTCAGGCCTGTCCCCCTACAGGGGGATTTTTGACGAAAACTAAAAAATACTTCAAAAATAATCAACAAGATAGTCCAGAAATAGTCTGGGGACTATTTTCTTGGGTATCTTTGATTTTTCGTCGAAATCCCTGTAGGGGGACAAGCCCGACTTAGAAGTCGCCTCGGCTCGGAGTGTGCGCCGGGTCGGGCCGCATCGGCACGACGTCGAGATCGAATCGGCTCGCCCCGCTGCCCCAGGATGCACAACCGCGCCATGTAAGCTGCGGGCCGCATCGAATCGCCAGGACGTCGAAATCGAACCGGATCGAACTGGCCTAACACGTTACATTGTCGAACCGGATGGGCCGGATCGAAATGGGCCCTGCCCGTCGACTACACGCAAGAGTGACCCTGGGCAAGGGTGACCGTTGGTGCGCGGCTTTTGGGGGGCCGCGGGGGGGGGGGGGGGGGGCCGAACCGGACCCAAACGCGCGAGACTCTACTGCCGGATTGCCCTCGACGATCGGGGGGCCCCAGTGGGCCCGCACGAGAGGTCACGCCGGCGAAAGGTCACCCTCACGTGTAGTCGACCCTGAGAGCCGGTTCCCGAAGGCCGCGCCGCACCCGGCGCACGTCAGGCCGCGCTTGAGGTGCGCCTCCGCCTGGGGCCCGAGGCCCAGTGGCAGCAGCGAGCCGCCCTCGAGCGCCGAGACCAAGTCCTCAGAGAAGCAAGCGAACAAACCCCATGGTAGGCTTATGTCGGGCGCGTCCCCCTACGGGGGGATTTTCGACGACAAATTGTCCCGGCATAGCAACCTATCAGCGATGTGTAGGAGCATATCTCGAAGCATTGCCCTTAAGATTCAGATGAGAATACAGTTGTAGAATTATGCTGTTCTCGCAGTCGTAGTCGCATTCGCGATGACAGTCGCAGTGGCAACGGCAGTCGCAGTCACAGCCTCAGCCTGCCTCAGCCTCAGCCTCAGCCTGCCTCTGCCTCAGCCTGCCTCAGCCTCAGCCTCAGCCTGCTTCAGCCTCAGCATCATCACCTCAGGCCTTCAGCCTCAGCCTGCCTCAGCCTCAGCCTCAGCCTCAGCCTCAGCCTGCATCAGCCTCAGCCTCAGCCTCAGCCTGCCTCAGCATCAGCCTGCCTCAGCCTCAGCCTCAGCCTCAGCCTGCCTCAGCCTCAGCCTCAGCCTGCTTCAGCCTCAGCCTCAGTCTGCCTCAGCCTCAGCCTCAGCCTCAGCCTGCCTCAGCCTCAGCCTCAGCCTCAGCCTCAGCCTGCCTCAGCCTCAGCCTCAGCCTGCTTCAGCCTCAGCCTCAGTCTGCCTCAGCCTCGGCCTCAGCCTCAGCCTGCCTCAGCCTCAGCCTGCCTCAGCCTCAGCCTCAGCCTGCCTCAGCCTCAGCCTCAGCCTGCTTCAGCCTCAGCCTCAGTCTGCCTTCAGCCTCGGCCTCAGCCTCAGCCTGCCTCAGCCTCAGCCTGCATCAGCCTCAGCCTCAGCCTCAGCCTGCCTCCTCAGCCTGCCAGCCTCAGCCTCAGCCTCAGCCTGCTTCAGCCTCAGCCTCAGCCTGCCTCAGCCTCAGCCTCCTCAGCCTGCCTCAGCATCAGCCTGCCTCAGCCTCAGCCTCAGCCTCAGCCTGCCTCAGCCTCAGCCTCAGCCTGCTTCAGCCTCAGCCTCAGTCTGCCTTCAGCCTCGGCCTCAGCCTCAGCCTGCCTCCTCAGCCTGCCTCAGCCTCAGCCTCAGCCTCAGCCTGCCTCAGCCTCAGCCCTCAGCCTCAGCCTCAGCCTCAGCCTCAGCCTCAGCCTCAGCCTCAGCCTCAGCTTCAGCCTCAGCCTCAGTCTGCCTTCAGCCTCGGCCTCAGCCTCAGCCTGCCTCAGCCTCAGCCTGCATCAGCCTCAGCCTCCTCAGCCTCCTCAGCCTCAGTCTGCCTCAGCCTCAGCCTCAGCCTCAGCAGCCTGCCTCAGCCTTAGCATCAGCCTGCCTCAGCATTCAAAATGTGGCCCGGGAATGGAGTTCTGGGAACTCGAAGAACACGAAGTGGCCTACAGTTGGCTCCGGGCATTCAAAATCATGCCCAGGAATGGAGTTCTGGGAACTCGAAGACCACGAAGTGGCCTACAGTTGGCTCCGGGCATTCAAAATCATGCCCAGGAATGGAGTTCTGGGAACTCGAAGAGCACGAAGTGGCCTACAGTTGGCTCTGGGCATTCAAAATGTGGCCCAGGAGTGGAGTTCTGGGAACTCGAAGAGCACGAAGTGGCCTACAGTTGGCTCTGGGCATTCAAAATGTGGCCCAGGAATGGAGTCTGGGACCTCGAAGACCACGAAGTGTGTAACTGTTGGCAACAAAAAATCACCGGCATTCCCCCGGATCCCGCCCAGACCCCTCTGGGGCGCCATGATGCTTTCTTTTGGCCCTACTAGAAACCTATCAGTCTTCGCTGTTAGGTAATTTAAAATATCCCCAACATATAACCAACAAGTGAAACAAATACTCAAAAATAGTCCCCCAGACTATGTTTGGATTATTTTTTGATTATTTTGTGTGTGTTTTTTCGTCGAAAATCTCCCTGTAGGGGGACAGGCCCGACTTAATGGTAGGCGTTGTTTCCCTACCTAGGCTCTGCCTAGAAGGGTTCTTTCTCGGTATGCTTAAAGGGCCCGGCAGTGCAACTCGCCCCGGGCGGTTCCCCCAGTATCCGCCCCGCGGTTCCCCCAGTTACGTCCCCTTAGCTTAGCGATGCTTATCTCATCTTAGCTTAGCTTATTTCATCTTAGCTTAGCTTCATCTTAGCTTAACTTAGCTTCATATAGATGTTGCTTTCCTAGATCCTCCAACTCCTAGGTAGGGTCGCACTGGGATAACTTTTGTTCTGGGTGTCGACACTCGGCCGAAGGGTGGGGGAGGGGGCGGGGTGTCTGGGTCCAGGCCGGTGCTTGCGTGGTCGATCTGCGTTTGGCAGTCGCGCAAGCAGACCGGGGGGAAGGGGTCCTGGCCAGTCGCCAAAAACAGCCAGGACCTGGTTTGGGAGTCCCGAAACGGTGCGGTGACAGACCGTGCGTGACCTCGAAATCCCCCAAGACCTCACCGCACGGTCCGTCAACGCGCGGTTTTGGGACCTCGGATGCCCCAGTCGCCCGAAACGTCCTCGGAGAACGACCCGAGTCCCAAGACCGTGCGGTGACCCCGAATCCCCACCGACTCACCACACGGTGTGGTCGCCACCCCGCTTGGGGGCCCCCGACTGGTCTATGGAGGGGGGAGGGAGGCCCGGGGCCCGCGCCGATCGGCGAAACCAGAAGCAAAAAACGGCGACGTGAACATCCGGTCGGCACCTTTCGTTGAGCTTGTCGCAGCGGCGGCCCCGGCGACGCAGTATACTGAAAAAGCCCTGGGACACACAAACAAATTCACACAAATAACAAGATTCCCCATACATTCCCATAATTTTCTGGGTTTTGGCCTTTCCCCCCACTTCCCATATTTTCCCTTATTTTACGGGCAATCGCCGATCAATTGTGTCTGTGTGTTTTTGTCGCCTCATGGTATACCCTGCAAGCGGATGGCGTGTCGCTCTGCTGCGCGGGGCGGGAGGCCGGGAAAGGCTCGGAACGTTGACACTTGGGGACCTGGAGCAAGGGCTCCCAACTTCGCGCTTCGCGCTGCGCGAAGCGCGAAGTGCGAATAACTTCGCGCTCTCGCGCCGCCTCCCAGGGGAGAAGAGGAGGATGAGGAGGAATCGGAGCCGAACCGCGAAGCGCGAAGCGCGAATAACTTCGTGCCCTCGAGGGCGCCCTTGTGGAGACGGATAGCGTGCCGGCTATACGCAAGAGTGACCCTGGGTAAGAGTGACCTTTGGTGCGCGACTTTTGGGGGGTCGCGGGGGGACCAAACCTGGGCGCGCAAGCAGCTGCTACTGCTTCGTTTTCGGCCATCTGGGGTGTCGAGACAGCGGCTTTCGGGAACTCTTACTCTTTACTCTGTCCTCTGAGCCCGTCGCTAGGGCGAATATCATAAACATCGTTTTTTTAAAAGAAGAATCCGTAAACATTGATTTTTTCAGAAGCGGAAGTTGTCAACAAATTCATCGTTGTTTTCTTCTCCGCCAGCGTAGCACAGCACCAGCGAAGCATTGCAATAGCACAGAAGTTGCAAGCATGTGCTTGGAAGTGTGCCAGATGACCAAAGCACTGCGTGAGGCGAAGTGTTGGGTACGTGGTGAAGGTCGCGCTTCTTAAATGTATCGCCAGAGTTTGGGGGGAGCTTAAATTGGCTGCTTGAAGCGTTGTCACGTTGCATTTGTTGCGCGCCTTTGGCAAACCCTGACTAAGCATTGAGTGCGTTGAGGTACATGTGGGATGATTTCGTGTTCTTCTTACGTAGTAGGTAGCGGTATGCCCTCCACGAGGGCAGTAAGAGGACGAGGGGGAGGGTGAACAGCAGCAGCGAAGGTGTGCATAATCATAATCGCCACCCTCGTGACCCTCAGCCTTCGAGTCGGAACGAGCGGATGGATGAGGGCAACTTAGCACACAACTCAGGGTCGGAAACGGGAGGTGCGGACGTCAGGCGAAACTTGTGGATGACCCATCAGCGCAACCATTGGGGTAGCACGGAGACACCTCATGAGCAGGAGGCTGGAATTAAGACGGGCAGAGCCGACGGGATGACAAGACTGAGCAGGAGCAGGAGGGGATGATGAGTGGGGAGGGGGAGGATGACTAGGTTTGCATGCTTTCATTTTGGCTGCAAGCTAAAGCATGCTTCTGGCGTGCTGGGGTTACTGCCTCGGCACTTGTACCAACGAGCGCAACCACTGAAGCCGTGGGCCCTAACAGCTCACAAGGACAGCCACGTGATGGTAAGTAGGTGTTGCTCCTCCTCCTTCTCCTCCTCCTCCTCCTCCTCCTCCTTCTCCTCCTCCTCCTCCTCCTCCTCCCCTTCCTCCTCCTCCTACTCCTCCCCCCCTCCTCGGTCTCCTCCTCCTACTCTTCCTTTTCGTACTCGCCATCTTACTTCTGTGGCTTGGAGGCTTCAGGGCAAGAGAAGATCGGCAACTTCAAACCACGAGCCTGCAGGAAGAATCGCCATCGGCCACCCTGCAGTGTAGCCACTCTGAGCGAGTGGCACTGTCAACCCTCGGCACTTCAGGCGGGAGCAGGCTTCATACAAAACGCCGATCGTAAAGCCGATGCTCGAAGCAACAAGCACGCACCTAGAACTCAAGACTAGATACTCGAAGCAACCAGCAGCACCTCGATCAAACATCGAGGATTTTCTTCGAAAACGCAGCCCACACAGCAGCCCGATGCTTCCACACCTGCGCGCTCTCCTGCTTGTAATGATCATCGAGATCCTTGTTCAGGGCTGCGAACACTGGCTTTGGGATCATCTGCGCGAGACCTGTCGCCAGGACCGTCACCGAAAGGAAGTGGGCCCACTTCGGAGCCTCCTTGTCGTTCGCGGGCGCCCCATTGTAGTACACGGCAGTGTACAAGAAGCCCCGAGGGATCCACGCAATCGCCATCTTCGGCAAAGTGAAGATCGCGCAAGCCTTCGAGTTCATGAACTCGGCGCCCGCATCACTCTGCAGAAACCTGGTGTGGACCCGATGTCTTTCTTATTCCTCCTCCCTCCTACTCCTCCTTCCTTCCCTCTCACTCCTCCTCTCTCCTCCTTTTCCAGTCTCCTCCTCCTCCTGCTCTTCCTCCTCCTC